CCTTTGTCCGGCTGAGGAAGCCTCAGCAGTTGGTGTGTGCTCTTCCTGGTTGGAAGGAAAAGTAAAGAGGCCAGAGGCTGGTCTGCATGCAAGACAGGCGGTCAGTGAAGATGTAAATTGAGGAGTCAGTGGGTGGGAGATGGGCTGGGTGGGGGGAAGAGAAAGGGAGGATGAATGTAGCAGTTGTATAGTGGAGAGGTACCTGGGGAGTCAGATGTTGTGCAGGTTATAATGTGTCATAAATCCACTGTCTACATTTAGTCCATGATTTTTAGTATCCAGAAGGTTGATAAAGTAAAGTTCATAGGCTTGTCTCCGAGAAGTGTTTTGTAAGTTCCCTTTGAGGATCAGGACTGAGAGATTGGGGAGAGAGTGATTGTCCTGTGGCAAGTGTGGCCCCACATGTTGTTGGATGTTCTCGTCTCCGATAGATTTCCGGTGTGCATTCATTCTGGTGTGCAGTTGTTGTTTGGGCTCTTCTATGCACCTTCCCTCTGGGCATTTGGTGCATTGGATGAGATGTATTACATTTCTGGAAGTGCAGCTGTAAGATGCAGGGATGCTGATGGCTCTGTTGGGTGATTGCGGGGGCAGTGGAGATGTGTTGGCAGGTTTTGCATTTCTTGTCATGGCATGGTTTGGATCCATTTGGTATGTTTTGGGCTGTAGGAAGTTTACTTCTGGTGATGAGGTGAGTGAGGTTCGGTGCTTGTTTGAAAGGTAAGATGGGTGGTTCTGGGAAGATCTCTTTAAGAATCGGGTTTCTTTCTAGTATGGGTTACAGCTGTTTGAGGATTTTCCGTATGAATTCGTGGGAGGGGTGATATGTCATAACCAGCAGTGTGCAATTCATGGGGGGTTTTCTTCTGCACTGCAGCAATTCTTCACGTGGTATCTGGGTGGCTCTTTCAAACATGCATCTCTCTAGAGGAGTGTCCTTGTTGGGTGAAATCCTTTTCAAGATTGGTGAGGTGGCAATCCCGGGTGGTCTCAGTGCAAATTTGGTAGTATCTGAGGGCTTGGCTGTATATCACAGCTTTCTTGGTGTGTTTAGGGTGATTGCTGGTTCTGTGCAGATACGCAGGCCAATTGGTGGCACTAACAATCAGGCAGCAGAATTCCCAGGTGTTGTTGCTCACGCTCTGGAAATAGTTTTCTCAGGCTACTCTAAACATCAGCTCTGAACAAATGTGGCCTTTTTAATATCCCTCTCACGTCCTTGTCCTTCTGTTTTACGCCCACAGCCTAAGAAAGCTAGACTCTGACATCAGAGAGTGCCCCCAGGCAATGGGGCCAGTGGATCACCGCCTCCTCCTGCCATAGAGATGACAACTCCCCTATGCAACTTCTGTGAGGTATGATGCCACCTT